GAAGGGGAGCACATCAAGGAGTTCAAATTTCCAAGTCCCATCCTGACACAATCCCTTATCCAAAGACAAACCAGGACAAAGGAAAAGGCCAAGAACTGGGTTATGGAGCAATGTTTCCATGAGGGATGGCTCTTCCCCACCCCAGACTGGGGTGGGCACTTCCCAATCCTTGGCCTCTCTGCTGAGCCCAGTAATGGAAATAGGGATAAAAACATGAAATAACTGGATTTTGAGACACATCCCACATTCTCCAGCCTCTTCTGCACCTCCTCGAGCAAGGAGCAAACCCCCAGAGGCACCACAGCCACCCTGCGCTCCCCGGCATCCCTGGATTGGTGTTGCACGGTTACCTCTTCCTCCTCATCCTCATCCTCCACATCCAGGATCCCCGAATCCTGCTCCGACATGGGGCTGGTGTTCTTCACCTCCAGCTCGGAGCTGGCGCTGAATTCCTTCTTGGATTTCTTCCCCCCGCTAATCCTGGGCTGCTGGGACACGATGTTGTCCAGGTTTCTCTGCTGCTGTGCCTAGGAAAAAGCAGAGATTCCACCCGGGATTTGGTTTGGATTTCAGGCACGAGGCGCAGCCAGGCCTGGAAGGGGACAAAGGAGGCCGAAGGCGCCACGCGCTCGGCGGAATTCCGACACGTCGCCTTTTCCCCGAGCCAGATATTCCCAGATCCATTTGCAAGGCAGGCCAGGGATTATGCAACAATCCAAACGCTCTCCTGACTCTTTCCAAATCCCAAGGCCCCGGCCCCCGTGCCGCCACATTGCTCCGTTTACGGCCCAGCTGCAGCAATATTCGCCCGCGGGCCATGTGGTGACTGTCACAGGCCGCGCTCAGGGACCTCCTGAACCGCTGGATTTGTTCCTCTTTTCCAGCCGTGGCGGCACAAAACATTCCACATCTGGACCCCAGAGGCTCCTGAAAGCATTTTTGTGGGAGCCCAGGAGGGTTTAATTGCACGTTGTTGATGTGCGGAACGAGCTGTAAAAGGTGCTCATGGAAAAGGCCGGGATGGAGGGCTGGGAAGTTATTCCAGGGATTTTGGGGCTGTCTGGAAGTGGAGGCCACGCTGAGCCCTCCTGCAGAAATTCCCTGTTTTTCCTTTGATATGGAGCGTAATAATCGGCAGGAAAAGTGGTTGGGCCCGATTGTTCGGGAGTTGGTCGTGTTCAAACCGAAGGACAAGGAGTGGGAACAGCACAGACACACAAGGGGTCGCAAGGGCCAAATCCCAGCCAAAACCAGGGAAAAAAGGCCAATCCCATGGATGTGGCGGTGCTGGACACGTGGGTTTGTGTACTGGAGTGACTGGAAACGAAACACATGGAAAACCTGGAATTTGTGTGGATTTAGACACAGATTTAGAGGATTCCTCCCCGTACTCTGCTGTGGATTTTTCACGTGTCAGAATAAAGGCGTGTGGGAATCATGGAATTGCGGACAGGATCTTAAGGATCCTCTCATTCCGTGGGCAAGGACACCTTCCACAATGCTCCTGAACATTCTGGAATTCCAGGATTCTCTGAGGTGGCAAAAGGGGCCCATCCCCTTCCCTACGGGAATGTGACAGCCTGGATTTAGAAGGAAGCAGGAAAACCAAAAAATCCGTTGGAAATCCAGCTGTCAGCAACACCAAGGGAGAGTTAAAACATTATTAATTGCTATTAAAAATTGCTAATTGCTAATTACTTTTGCTACCTGAACTGCGGAGAGCACAAAGCTTTATCCATGTGCAAACCTCCCAAATTATTTCCTTTTCAACTCCTGGAAGTTTTAATATACCCCCAAAAATAATTCAGGAGCAGCTTTGATTTTTGCCAGCCTTAAAATCCCTTTGGAATCTCTCCTTGGGAAGCAAAACCCCACCAGGGAATGAGCACTGGAGTAATTCCTACATCTGAGGAATATCGAAATCCAAGCAGGGAATGAAGATCCCGTTCCTTGGAAAATCCAGGCGTGGATATCCCATTCCTCAGAAAATCCACCTCAAAGCGCTCCTCACCCCGAGCACACGCAATCAGCTGCCAATTAATTAACGAGCTGGGTAATTGATAACAAAATTCCGTGTACAAAGCTGCCTCTGGAGGTGGCTGCAGTGGGAACTGAGCGAATCCTTGGATCGGGATGCATTATCCTTGTGGGATGCGTTATCCCGCAGCACAACCTTGACCTCTAGCGGTTGGAAAGCAGGAGTAGCCCTGGAGTTCATTACTCCGAGTGCTCCTCCCAGCCGAGCCAGGGGACTCCCAACCCATCCCTTTAACAAAATCTCTTCGGGGATCAATCCCAACAATGGGAATTTTTGCAACAAAGCCCCAGAGGGAAAGGTCTGGGTGGACACTGCCCAGGACAAAGTTTTTTCCCGACGTCAGGACGCGGAGCCGTTGGGGAAAGGGGCATTTTTGGCTCCGGGATTCTCGGACTTCAGAGGCAGCACTCTATAGAAAGGCCTTGCAACATCCCATAAAGGGAATTAGGACTTCAAAAAGGGGCGGGAGCGCGTGGTCCCTCAGAAGAGAACACAACAAAGGGTCGGGGCTGGGGTCCACCCTCAGGCCCGCCCAGCGCCGCCCTGAGTTTCCCAGCCGAGGCCTAATGAAGTTATAACCCCGAATCCGCTGGAAATTCCCCCAAAAGCAAGCCCAGTGCACTCATTAAACCCTCCCGTTTATGTAATCCTCCTCCTTCTGGAGAGAGGAGAATCAAAGAGTGGGAAAAGGCCGAGTTTTGGATGCGGCCCTGAGCTGGACGCAGATCATTAGGCAGGGTGGAGCGGGCCCGGAGCGCACAGGCGGTCATGGGAGAGGGAAATTTGGGATAACGAGCTGGAGGATGCTGCTGCCAGCCCTGGGCGGGAAACACGCGGGATTTCAGGCTGGACATGGAATTGGTGTCTCCAAGGATCCATGGAAGCGCTCTCCAAGGATCCCAGACCTTGGTCCCACCTCTGCTTCCCAAGGGAAATCCAAGAGATTCATCCTCCCCCGGCCCAGCTCTGCTGTGGGAGCACCGCAGGATGTGGGCAGGTGTCCGTATTGGTAAGATCCAAACCAAATGTTGATAAGAGCTCAGAACTCCCAGTTATTTTGAAATCAAGGAAATCTCTCCCTCCGGCATCGCTCCAGGACAAGGAGCCCCATGTGGAATTTACCCCCCACACTTCGATTCTGCACTTTTAATGCAAATAAACTGATTTATCAAGAGAAGATTTTTGACCTGGATTGAAGCACAAGCACCAGCAGAGAAAATCACAGAATTTGGGTTAGAAGGGACCTTAAATCCCATCCCATTCCACCCCCAGGGATGCCTCCCACTGTCCCAGGCTGCTCCAAGACCTTTCCAGCCTGGCCTTGGGCACTTCCAGGGATTCAGGAGCAGCCACAGCTGCTCTGGGCACCTGTGCCAGGACCTGCCCACTCCCTGAATGGGAAAAAAAAAGGAAAAAATCCTATGTCCCTACTCCCAGATTTCCTAAAAAAGCAGCCAGAGGATGCTCCCGATGGCACAAAAGATCTCCAGCCCACCAGGAGCAATTGGGACCTTGAGGAATCTTCACCTTTCAGGATTTTTGTGGAGAGAAGTTTTAAATTAGACGAGTTTTTTCAGGAATTACTGCCTGAATGGCCTCACATTCGGTCAGTGGAGGTTTGTTCTCTTCCCTTCCTGGGAACACCGGAGACAAATCCCGACCCGTGATGGGCACATTCTGACTGCAGCAGGAACGGGAGTGCTCCCAGCCCGGAATGAAGGAGTGATCCCAGACCCAGACCCTGCCAGAAGGAACGGGAATGGCTTTTCCATCTCCAGGAGGACATTCCCAACCCCCTCGCTCCCAGCAGGAAACAATCTGGACTGAGGTGACCTAGAAGTGAGAAATATCGAATTTTCTTCAGCTTTGTGAAGTCACCGAGGTTTCGGTTTCACCGGGAGGGAAAGGCAGAGCTGGGGGGAGGCCCAGAGGAAGCAGCTCCGGAGAAATTTGGGATTATCCTAAGGAACTCCCATCTCCCACCCCTAGCACATTCCTGGCACCTCCCTGGGCCGGGGCGCAGCAGAACAACCCTTCCATGGATTTGCTGTGGCACAGGAAGGATCAAACCCGACCTGCAGAGGAGCACCGGAGGGTTTGGGGGTTCTGTTCCCCACAAAGGGTCTGGAGAAGCCCAGGGAAGAGACCCCACATCAAAGGCCGGGTGACACCTCGGAAAACCAACAGAACCGGGGCTGGGCGAGGCCCAAAGCCCTCAGGGGATGACAAATCCAATCCAAAATCCACCTTTCGGTGTGGTTTCCATGAAAGTGAGGCCAGTTTGGGGTTATCCTGTGGAACTGCCCCTGTTCTGGCTCACTCTGCCCCACGGGAGCACAAAACCAGACAGGGGAGCCAAGGCCTGCTCACAGCTGATGTTTCGGAATCAAACACTGAGTGCTGGGCTCCTGGAGGTGAAGTTCCTTCCCAGCACAGCCACTTTCCTCATCCACGAGAGCCTGGCAGAGCAGGAGCACCCTTGTCCCTCCATCAGGGCAGAATTCCCAGCTCCTGGCGGGAATTCTCTTTCTGGACCGGCTGGTCGGAGAAGCAAAGGCACCACCTCCAGGCCTAGGCCCAGCTCATTGACCCACGTTTGTGCACTGAGGTTGTCATCAGGCAGTCCAGGAGATTTTTAGGAGACCTGGGACAGTGGGAGGTGTCCCTGCCCATGGACTGGAAGGGATTTTTAAGGTCCTTTCCAGCCCAACCCATCCTGGGATTCAAAGCCCCCAGCAGGAAGGACTTTCCTCACCATTCCAGGATCCATCCTGAAAAAACCCCACACTTGTGGAGCTCCACCTTCCCCACCCCTCACAACCAACCCAACCCAACCGAGCTGGAGCTGAATTTTTTGGAGTTGAGTTTCTCAGAACTGGGTTTTTCAAAGCAACTCAGCTCTTTAAAATTGAGTGGGCCTGGCTGCAAACCTGCACCCCAACACCGTGGGATCATTCCCAACACCCTGGGATCATTCCCAACGCCCTGGGATCATTCCCAACACCATGGAGTCATTCCCAACACCATGGAGTCATTCCCAACACTGTGGAGTCATTCCCAATGCCATGGGATCATTCCCAGTGCCACAGAGTCATTCCCAATGCCATGGAGTCATTCCTAACACCACAGGATCATTCCCAACACCATGGAGTCATTCCCAACACTATGAAGTCATTCCCAGCACCATGGGATACTTCCCAGCACCACAGGATCATTCCCGATGCCATGGGATCATTCCTATCACTATGGAGTCATTCCCAATGTCATGGGATCATTCCCAGTGCTACAGAGTCATTCCCATCACCATGGAATCATTCCCAGCTCCATGGAGTCATTCCCATCACCATGGAATCATTCCCATCTCCATGGAGTCATTCCCAATGCCATGGGATCATTCCCAAAGCCACAGTGTCATTCCCAATGCCATGGAGTCATTCCCAATGCCATGGAGTCATTCACAGCACCACGGGATCATTCCCAATGCCACGG